TAAAGTTTTGATAAGTTTTACGTTTTGAACTTTTGATGTTATTGAATTTGGTAAAATTTTGTGATTTAAAATTTTCTAAAAGTTCCTTGGAGTTTTTAAGTATCCACATCTGATTTTCGCCGCTTCTCGAATATACTGTTGTACAACACTTCTGAAGTTTCTCCTTCACTGCTGTAAATATTTTAGTGAGGAGTAAAGAGAAAGGCTTAGTAGAACATTTACTGGAACCCGCTATGTATCTTTGTTTGCAAGGATTTTTATGGAGTTTTGGAATCCAGTATAGGTAAGGTAATTCAAATTCATTTTGATTATTGGGAATATTGAAAATGTTTAAAACTGACGCATGGTTATGAAGAATTTCCTCTTTAAAAAGGGAGCTATGGGTTGATAAATGTTGGATGATATACCCAATACTTATCAACTTGTTTCATTCCACCTTTTCCTCATTTCAGTATATACTTTTTTTTCTGAGAAAGTTAATGAGGATACATTAAAAGTCTTAAATTTTTTGTAAGGTTTTGAAAATACACCGGCAAGAATATTAAAAACTCTTTGAAAAGCATTTCTTTTCATCACAAACATCGCCCATCAACTAGTATCTTAACATCATTCACACGACTAAAATAATACATGTAACATACATCTACTGAATTTGTAAATGAAAAGGGAAATTTAAGAAGAACACATATTAACGAAATATCTATCAATGAACTTGTTGTTATTACTATTAATTAATTAAATTATGTATGTATTTACGAAGAATTCATACATTTTGATAACAATTAAATACTTGCATATTTAGATCACAGATGGATATTATGGATTCCTACAGGAAGGTATGGTCATCATGGTCACCCGCGTGCAATGCGAAAATTACAAATACACTTAATTTACCGAATTTTTAAATATTTTTTGATTAAATGCTTTGATATATATGCACTCGATACATATGACGTATTTATGTACCATTCTTGATTTATCTAGTTCCGTTCCTGTATGGTTTACCAGAAGAACGTGATGCATGGAAGATTAGGTGCAAGGAAATAAATATCTTTTTGAAAAAAAAATATCCTAAGCGTTTTAAACTATTCTAAACAAATTCTGGAAAAAAAAAAATAAAAACAAACAAACAAAGCAAGGCAAACAAACAAAAACAAAAACCGGCTCGTGTTTAAAACTATACGCGATATTAAAGCAAGGCTATTTTAGCCAATTAAAGAATTCAGAGAGGCCAGAGTTGAGAATCTGTGACCGATTTTTGATACACAGTTCTAATTTTTGGCCTTCAGAGCGACTTGAAGTAAGCGTTTAGCACCGCACCGCAGAAAGATACCTAACAGATTTTTTTCAGCTGCTCACAATTATGCACGCAGGGAAACTTGTAACAAATTTTACATTGAAAGTCCTTTTTTTTGGGGGGGGGGGGGAGGGGGCATTTGCTTTTATCAATATATGTACGATATATTTAGTATGCGATTTCATCGATAAATGCTATCGATGACATGTAGTAAGATACATCATGCTTTAAGCACACACAAAGAGAGAGAGAGAGAGAGATGAGAATATATCTAAGCAGATCTACCCGCTAGCATGAAACACTAAAATGATATCTGTCTGGTCAAGAGAAGAGTAATACAGTTGACATTGATTATCTCAGGCCATAAAACATATTGAGTTTGTATAAAGTAGTCATATGCTTTGTGGAGTATAGAACAGATGTTGAGATATCATGGTTATTGCGCATGCATATCTGTTAATGTAAAATTACTTAAACTTGAAGTGTCTACCCCTAAGGTAAGTGTGTTTTAATAAGTTGCATGTGGTAATTAAAATGATCGCTTAAACAAACAACCCTTCCTATGTAAATGGAGTTTTTGTATTTTAAGTGTCAGAAGTCGATCGTCATGATTTTTCGTTAATTTCTGTAACTGGAATGTTAATTAAGTCACTCACTTCTTTAGATTTGAAAACGTTAAGTAGTTAAGGACACAAAAAAAAAATTAACATGATGAAACTGAATTGGTTATGTGTAATTCACAAGTTTCCGGTGCGGATTAGGATGTGAAGTTATGCACAGTTTTGAAGAGTTACGCTCTCAAGATATATTCACCAGATCAGATAAAACATTGTACTTATTTCCGTGTTAGACAAACTCTTTTCTGTTTTAAGTACATCTTCTTCATATAAACTGTACATACAGTGTAGTTTTCTGTTAAAACTGTGGGTTTTTTTTTTAAATATATATTTACCTGGTCAACGCGATTTATATAGACATGCATATTTTGATTCTCATTTGGAATTTATTAGTGTCATTTATTCGGTATGTAAAATTATCATTTTAGTATTTATTGTACATAAAAAATGTTTTAATTAATATGAACAATGTAAACAAATTTAAAAAAAAAAAAAAGAAGAAGAAGCTGTAGTCCTGAACAATTCAATATGGGTCACTTGCCTCTTATTTAGATATTTTTTTTTTCAATGGACAACAGATGACACAATTTCCTGAGAAACCCAGTTGCCTCCCTAATTTGACATCGTCAGAACCATTGATCAACTGAGGGCTCTCAGTCCTTTTATCTTTATAGGCCAATACGTTGATATTATAGGTCACAGTTAAATATGTACATTCAAAAATATACAATATTTGCGAAATTTACAAATCAATGCATTTTAAAGAATCATGCATATAATTTTGTATATACATGTATATATGAATGAATATATTTAATAATAATAATACTAGCACGTGAATCTGCCAGAATGTTTGATAAATGTTTGAACAATAAGAGAAAAGACGTCCATTCTCCACAGCATTCAATGAATCTATCCCCCATAATCAGACATGTGTATCTAAAATGTGAATTTTATCAAATAAAAATTTGTCAAAAAAAAAAAAAAAAAAAAATCAAACAAAGTAACTAGTTATGAATTTTCCGTGAACACATAAACTTCAACTATATTTTTAAAATAAGGCCAAAATAAAAAATACCTTTCGCCGACTGAAAAGTTTTTTTTAATAAGATTATTCAAATATTTTTTTTTATTGTTCATTAACTTTATAAAATACAATCTCATTAAAATCCGTTTTTATCAGCTTTTGTTTTACTCTCATTTGGCGCCCACAACATATAGCCACAGAGGGTTAGTTCGTGTCATGAAACATCGGCGACGTTTCAATCTTATTATATATCTTTAACTTATTAGAATCCTACACTCTTGAAACATTAAATATTCAAAAATTTAGTCATTAAATATACCATGACTAAGGAGCGTTAATATGGTATTTACAAATGTGTCTTCTCAAATTAACGTACGTAGTAAGCATGACAAAGCCTGCCTCATGAGCAGATGAGGGGCCCACCTTGTGTATGCATATCAATAAATTTCACTGCATTTCATGTTTCGATCTAATAAACAGTTCATGTATCATAATGATCCTATTTTTACTATATATAGGACCATAGGAAATATAAATATGTCTTTGTATAATTCTTTCATCTTGATAAATATAATGCAGATGTCGTTTCTTCATTCCTTTTATTTATGGGGTAAACTTCGTGAATAAAACATTAAATGATACTTTAATCATTTTAGATATGGTTTGGTTGAATTAAATATTGTTTGCACATGTACACTCTTTCCAGATAGAGTTAAAATCTTTAAAATTGGCTTATTGTACGGCTTCCTTAGACGTCCAGTGTGTTTTTCTTTTGTTAGGCCTTGAAAATAGGTTGTTTCTTTGCTTTAAAATACCTTTAAAACTTGTTAGACCGACAACATTTGAATACCTGCCTGGTGGAGGGCTCCTAATATAGACTTTTACTTGGCACTTATGCCATTGATCATTAAGAATCAGTAAGGGATCTTTTTCGTGTCAACATCTACATGTATACTGCGACACTGGACCTGCGTTTTTTTACGGTTTCATTCGACTGACCAGTCTCCTCGTCCCTCGCCGGGACCGGTGACTTAGAATAAGCTCCTGAATTACGTTGACTCCAAATCGAAACACTAGAATCACTGCGCCACGCGAGGCCCTTGACAATTTGTCTACACTACACAAGTTAAAATGAATAATATTTGTGAATACCATACCTGTTGCTTCATTTGAATGATATTCGGTTTAAAAATCAGTTTCTTTTGTTCTTTCTTATTTATAAAGATATTATTCAATTTTTCAGAATGCATTTTCAAAACAGCTGTCAGAAAAAAAAATAATTTACCTACCTACCTACCCAACTTGAATTTTTAGGGTCGGGTTGGGGGAAACAAAGATATTTTTAATGATGGCCTAAACTTCCATATTTCTTAATGCGGCCGTGTAAGATCTAGAGTTGTCGATCTTGAAACAAGTTAAAGACATTTCTCAGGTAATATTTCGTACTGCACCACTTTGATCCACCGATATAGCATTTTCATGAATATGTAAATTAATTTCCGGTTTTATTTTTGTCCATGCTGTTTTGAACGTTTGTGTAGCCAGTTTATTCATATGGCTGTCTTTATACATGGCAAGACATGCCCGCGTGTTCAAAGGAGATTAATTGAATGAAAACATATCTGGGATTAAACGTGAGGAAAAGTCATTCGCAGTTTATTGGATTAATTTTAATCAGTATTATTGCCTCGGGTGTAACGTCGTCTTTACGAGAAATAGGTATACATTGAGAAAAGAAGGAATTTTCGCTAGCGTGAAGGTGTTGAGTGTTTAATTAATTTGCATTCCAAAACGACACCCGCTTTGAGAGAAAAAAAGAAATATTTAACTTGCAATTTCGTAACTTTTGTTGGAAATTAGGAGATAGTTTGTGTGTGGAATATCGTGTCTGGATTCAGTTAATGAAATGGAAAGTTCTATACGGTGACATATATGGTGAACATTGATAATATCTAAAGTGTACATCAGGCAATCTTCGTTTGAATAGGGAGTTATATTGATTTGTCTTGCTCGTGAATATACCAAGGGGAATTTATTCCTTCGATAGTGTATATTTGATTCGATTTTCTTTGAAAGAACTGATATTTTTAACCACCCTTAAACCTGAAGATTACTATCTGATATAAGGAAATGAACTTTACTCTCTAAGACTTCGATTTTTTTCCCTATCGTCACACTTTCTTTCACCGTGGCGGATTCGTATACAGTCCCCCCACCAAAGGAACCAAACAAGATGGACTGGTTCCGAATAAATGATTTTTTCATGTCCATTATAACTTTATTAACTTACATTGTGGACCAATTTTACAGCATAGAATACCGTAGAGGCCTCCAAAAGTTGGTTTCGGTGCTGAAGAAAATGGGGAGCATTTTGGGGGTCCAGACATGGAGTGACCCAGGGGACATCAGAAAAAAAGAGATTCTAGAATCCCGGAATCGATATATAGAGGAACAATTTAAGCGAGACGACGATGAGGAAACTGACGAAGTAGACAGTGGTGCCACCAACGCAAGAGGTGAGTTATATAAGTTTTTATATATATATATTTTTTAATGATTGTGGGTGTATTTTTTAAGCATTCCAAACAAAATACAAGTGAAATGTACCAAAAAAAAATCACAGATGAGCTCATACAAACACTCTTTCCGAATTTTTCCCAAGGACAACCGATAACTATCCCTCTAGCTTTGTATCTCCTGGTATGTAATCAAATTTTGTAATGAATATTCAAAAGCAGTGACCTTGGATATCGGTACAAAACTGCAGCTCTTAGCATTTTTTCTCAGTTTTTTTTTTAATGTTTTATCCTTACTCTTTGTATCACAGTGTTAAAATTTCTTTGGTACCAAGGGGTTAAAAAAAAAATCCGGACAATCAGTAATCTGATTCAAGTTTGATTTTCTTTATTTATTTAATCTTCCCGTCCTGTGAGGAAAAAACTGTGTTTTAGCATTCTACAGGTAAAAACAAGACACCTTTTTTTTTCTTTGTGGTGGATTCATTTTCTATTTTTGTACGTTGTTTGTAGTACCGATACAATGAGTAAATCTGTACGTTGTTGAAGTAATAACATGGATTGCTAGTCTTCAAATTTTCACATTAGACGTGTAATTACTAGGTTTATCTTAGCATTTGCCTGTAAGTTTTGTACATTAAGCATTCCATTTAGAAATCGAGTGAAGTCGGTCGTGACAGGCTCTTCCTCCCCTGTACAAACCATTGATATTTTTCCCTTTTAGCATAAACAGAGTTTTTAAAATTACTACAGTGTATACAAAGTGTAATTTAAAGGCTACAGGAATAACTAAATACGCCTGATTATATAGGGCTAATTATATTCCTTAATATCTTAACACCGAAACTTGAGAATTCATTTAAAAAAAAAATTACAAATCAGATAAGTGACACACTCAGCGTTCAGTTAGTAGTGCATTGTTAAACTTACCTTTTATAAACTTAAAAGTAAAAAAGTTACCTTGATATTCCGAAGCCTGAGCACTTGGTCTCAATTACATGTACATGTACACGGTATGCACACTATGCATGGTATTGACAACCTATGTCAAGACCTCCCCTCCCCCCCCCCCAAATTGTTTTCTAATCGCTAAAAGTAAGTTAATTGTCGATCAATCTTTTCAGTAATAGAAAAAATAAAACAAAAAACAAAAGAAAACAAAAAGAAGAAATTTTATATCTTTTGAACCAATATGGCGACGAAGTAAAAAGTTTACATTTGTGTTATGTAACTGAGAGTTGAAAAAAAAAACCTGCAACCCTAAATGTGACATTTGACAGGTCGACATACATATGTACATGTAGTCCTGTACGATAAGATGTCGAACCACTAAAGTGGCTACAGATAAAGAGCATGAAGAGGGCCACTTCAACGTACTACTGATATACAGTGGGAATATTTTACCGACAATTACAAGTACATATCATCCAATCTTAAAAAAAAGAAGGAAATGATATACATGTATATAAAAGGGAAGCCTCGATCTGTGGTATTGTCTGACATAGATCCATGTTCTATTTTGGCTTAACGTCCACCCATAAAGTCCAGACCCCATAAATCTCTTACACAACTATATGATGACACTTTAAGAATGCAATTTTAATCTACACAGTGTACAGTCCATGTCTGTGTTCACTTTAAGGCCTCTTCAAGATAGCATCGCTTTCAATCTCGATATCGTGAAACAACCAAGACTCAAATCAGGAAAAAAATGTAAATTGCTCTACAATGGTGTAGAGCCCATGCAGTTTTAAATTAAATTCATTGGTACATGCTGCTATCTTTATACTATGAAAGACGTTTTGCAGAGGATTAAGTTTTCAGAAGAATTTGACTTAAAGTCTTTATCATGATTTGAGTTTCAGTACACGCGCACTCAGAGTAACTGGGTTTTAATGGTGAATGAACCACTTCAGAGAATTTTATCGAAAGTTTTGAGAGTTGCTATGCTATGTATAGACAACTGCACACAGAGTTACATTTATCTCTTTCTAATTAAGATTACGTTTAAGGTCAGACGACACGTTCCTCAATAATATATATTTTTTCCCAAGAATTTGTCATTGAAGTATTGCTACTTTAACAATTTTCCTTTCAAAAAATTGAGATACCTTACCAGGCATTTGTGGAAGATACCAGAGAATGCTATTTACTATATTGTCCTATTAGAAATCACCAGCATTGCCAATATCACAATTGTATGGTGTCTTTATCTACTTAGACATTTTGAAAACAGTTTAAAAATCATAAGATAATGATAATTATGATTTATTTGTTGTACGGTATATTATGAAGGGATACAAAACAGATATTTGAGCAAACATGTCGTCAGACCTTAATATTTCATGGAATTATATATATAGAAAAAAAATATTTCGTATTTTAAAATTTTAGTATCGAAGTTTAGAAGTTAAAAGTGGCACATGACATAAGCATGGCCTTGAATAAATTAAATAATGTCAACTATTGAAAGACATGTTTTAAGAACACATGCACCCGTGGTATCAATATCCCAGTAAAGAAATGGGCTTTTGTGCTTCAAAGTAGACGCATCACACGTGCTGTTCTAAAGATCTTTCATATGTTTTTCAAAGACATTTAGAACTGCATTTTGCTTTAAGAATCCCTGCAATGGTTAAACCGCATATGTTGTGAGCTTATTTCGCTTCTAGGATGCTTGATAATTAAGTTAATGACTTTTGTCATACTCCCAAGAGTAATAAATAACCCTACTAAATTAAGATTCTATCAATGGTGTATTACTAATAAAGATGTTGAATCACGGGGTATGCTCCAATTATCATTGATAAGAATGAAACACATACATTCTGCAGGTATCATTTGAATTTCGAATTCAACATGAACAACTTGCAATTGTTTGAAGTCAATCGTATTAAAAGGGCATTACAATTGTTTTGTTTCCAATCTTTTAATATTTGACTGTTTTAAGAATATGAGATAGAAAAATGTATTATTTTTATATATGGCAAATAACAACAATGCATTACATTGATTACGAAGACATGTTAAGAACAAAACAAAACAAACAAAAACAGCACGAAGTTTAACCATTATTCTTTTTAACAGTATCTGAGCATATACATGCATTTAGTTTAAACGATGTTTTTATGTGTTATTATTAGCATTTTTTTTTTCAGTTTAGATTAGTATCCAAAGTTGATTATGGTGATACACGAAATTCAAATGACAGACATTCTTATGCCGCACTTGTGTATATGCTTTTTTTTTTTAAATTAATGTATAATTTTGATTTGTAGTTTGATTTTCTTTGCAGAGAAATACGCTAAAATACGAGGTAAACTTACAATTACTGGGTTGTCATAGTGGTCTTTTTTTATTTACTTTACATACCAATCTATTCATTCATGTTTCTTATTCATGGTCACAAGTAAAAATATATCACATCAAAGTAAATTTTGAAGCCCCCCTCCCCCTCCCCCCCCCAATTTTCTCATACGATCTCCCTATAGCATTTTTTAAATCAATTTCAAATTTTAAGTTCAAAGATAACTGCATGTTCAAATCAAATCTCTGCTACAAATTGAGGTTAAGTTATTCCCTTTTATAAGTGATTCTTACAATAAGAATAGTTTAACTAAAAAAGCAGATAATATCCAAAAAATTTAATTAGGTCAGGTACTAAGTATTAGTATGACTCAATTTGCCTCTTTAATTTCGATTCTTTGTATTTTAAGTTGATTCTTTGCTTCTGACTAAAACACCTCAGGCAAATGAATTGAATTTGCTTTTTTTTTTTTTAAATAGCCTTTTAAAATATAGGTAAAATGGACATGTTTTCCCATGGTATTTTAAGGGTTTCAAAATTCATGAAGCAAATTCCCAACGGATTCCAAAAGAAATAAATTAACATCGGTATAGTTATCTTACTTTGCCGCAACCGTGGAGGATTATAAAACTTTGGCGGAAGTCCATGTAGTCATTCAACAACAATTAAAAAAGAGTTTGTTAGCTCCAATTTTTTCCCCATTAAGTTATAGAATTAGCTATTTAGAACGAAAACTGAAAACACTACTCACTTTTTATAAGATTTTACTCACCAATGTAGATTTTGAAAGTAGTCTCGCACCAATTTGTTATAGTTGAAAATGAAACTATGAAAATAAAAAAAAAATTAAAAGTGATTAAACATATTACTTAATTATTATTTGTGATTTTTTTATGATGTAAGGTACCTTTATCTTGGAAACATGTGTTTTATCTTCTTTTAAATTGTTGCTATAGGGCATGCCAAAACATTCTTTGTTTTCAGCGCATATATTCATGCTTTTGTTTCCTTTTTGTCCTTTTTGTAGCATATGTTGCTAAGTTACGAGGTAATGTTAGTTTCACCTTTTTTCCTTGCACTTCTGGTCTTTGTCTGTTTTGACCATGGATCAAAGACCACTTCCGGTCTCTGTGTCACGTGATCTAAGATCACGGATCACCTCTCTAAAACATGTGCACTTTGCCTTCCCTTTCATGACTTTTTATTTACTCGATGTAGTATGATATAACCAGTACGTAAATTTTGAAGAGTTTGGAATTGAAAATAATTTTAACATTTTTTAAATGCTTTTGAAATTCATATTTTTATCCTCGATTATATATGATAACATTGAACACAAAAAGTCAATGCATTTCACATAAAAAATTACTAACCATGCTTATTTTCGAAGTAGAATGTATTATAGTAGTTTGTCTAATTCATGTGTTTGAAATGTGTATGGAGAATTTCAAATTCATACAAATATTTAGAAATCAAGATCGCAGTGTTGTATGTTTGTTTTTACGTGTTTGATTGGTTTCACCGACTTTGATTCAATTCATTGTCTTTTAATGAATGTTTCATATGAAAAGTTCTTTTATCAATTATTTTCAGCTGCGGTTAAAATGAGAGGTAAATAACAACTGAAAATTAAATTGATTTACTTACTTGCATGTGCACCTTTCCCTTATATAGTGTGAAATCATGTCGGCCGCACGTGTACATGCTATTAGTATATTATATTTTGTTATTATCAAACTAATTTAATAGACGTACTCACTTACATATCTGTATCAATTAAAATTATGAATTCTCACTAACAATTTAAATCTCTCTCTCTCTCTCTCTCTCTGAAATATGAGGTCATTTCATATAACGGGTTATGTACAATTATGTTAAATCAAAAATTAATTCAAACGATAAGGAACCACAAGTCATTCTTAAGAGTTCAAATACAAGAATGATCGCTTTGTCATCTTGATATTTGAAATTTGCTGAAATACATTTGTACTGCATGGGCGTAAAGAAAGGTGCGGTTGGTACAACTTTAAACTTGTATGCCCATATCTTTCATCTCCTTTAAATTTTTTGACTTTTCTACATCATGCATAGGAATTTATTCCTATATGGTCATTACTAGGTCCGAATGTTTACATTTTCTTCTTAACAACCGTATTTCCATAAATTAAAGTGAATTTACATTGGAATTACTATTGATTATTTCTACTCCGTGACCTCGTCTAGGCCTTCTCAAAAAAACCGTGTGGGATGAATTCAAAATTTTTGAAAGAAAAACGTGTTACAGTTAAAGGGATGACATCGGGTGTATTGACCTGTGAACAAACATGGATATTTTGCAGTGAGCACTGCTTGTTTATACAAAGTATATGAATTGAAATAAATTATGAACCCATCCTAACAAAATTACCTACTGTATTATCAATACATCTGAATGAACATCCTGGACAAATAAATCGATATTTTCTAGCACCTGTTGGTTAGGTTTTTGGGATAGCATTCATTTGTACACAGGTACCTATACTGGGGGTGTTTATGACGTCCGATCTCCCGTTTATTTCACTATTGTAAGCCACAGGGAATACTGCACGTCATGGTATTCCATCGAGCTAGAAGATATTATGCTAATCAGAAACTTCTATGTATATCAATATCTTTGCATAAACATACTCCTCTCTTTATAACTTTCCCATAACTTTGGATACAATACTAACGACATGTAAATTGACTTAATATGTTATTAAAGGTATTCAAACAAACCTTTAACTCCATATTGTATTTACATCTTGCACTGAAAAAGATAACGAAAATTTAGGTTCCATAAAATCACTGCAGGAAATTTAACAGAACTAATACGCCATGCACCCTTTCATGTTTTGTAGCCAACCAACATAATGCTATAAGATGGTTACCTATGCACGTTAATATAGTTCAATTTTACCAAAATCATATGAGACAGAATAATAAATCATTTTCAATCTTTTTGACTTTACAATTACATTTATGCTTATCTTTTTTTATTTGAATATTCACAATCATAAATTCAGGAGCCTATCACCGGAACCGGAAACTGAAGAAGATGCCATCCGTCCTGAACGACATCGAAATCAAGGCCATGCAGATCAACCCTAAAGACCACACGTACCCCTTTGAGAACCTCGTGTTTGAGGGAGGAGGAAATAAGGGGCTGGCATATTGTGGTGCTGTCAGGGTAAGTAGTTCTATAGTTTAGGAACAGTACAGTATGAGTTTGCAACAATTGCAGATTATTCCTGCTTTATAATAAATAATAAATATTTGTGTAACGAAAACTAAAAAGAATGTTTAATATAGGTTTGGATTTATTGAAATTTTACCTAATTAATAAAATTTTGTTCGTCAATGTTCTTGGCTCGGGGAATTCCAATGAAACTTCACAGAAATGATAATCACCAACTCTCTCTCTCTCTCTCTCGTATATCACAGTCGAAATATGATTTTTAAAAAAATATTTTTCAGAAAAGATGAAATCTTTGTAAAAACTGCATTACAAAGCGTAGGTTTATGTTTGTTCAAATCAATATCCCAGGTGGTGGGATGGGGCACACAATGTTTTGCTTAAGAATATACATGTATTGGAATCTTCTTCTCAACAACGAGCCATGATTATCATATTTATATATAGAAGCACCTTCAGGTTCTGTGAATTCAAGTTTAGTAGGCCGTGCGATAGTGACTTTAGTGAACATTGTGGTCCATAGGGTTCTAGTTTTTTCCGTAATTTACGTCTAATTTGTGACCTCCTTTCCCCTTTCAATAGATGGTATCATGAATCCGATACTGCTTCTCAAATGATGTATAACAAAATTTTCATGCATACTTGAAATTATGATAAGACTCTTTATTTTTGATTCATGCGCGACTATTGATTGGCTTTATTTATTAAACTCTATTTTAATTACTCTGTTGTAACGATCGCTCCCCCCTTTTTCATGTGTTATGATGTGTTGAATGTCAAATTCTTCCCATAAGTTGTACAGTAATTTATGATTACCTCATGATTACCTTAATTGTCGTGTGATCGATGTTTAAATAGCGTCTTCGAGCATACATGTTTTACTGAAACTTCTGCCGCCGCCATACTTTGTTTACTTTTTGTATTTTCCCATGATGCTTCACGGTGTATTGATCTATTTTTACCGTAGTTATTTTGGCGGAAGATTTAATTGTAGATTCTGTTTAATTAAATGTTAAATGTGCTTTTAAAGTGTAAATTATATTTTATTAATTTATTTACGTATTGTAATTTTTTTTACATACGATGTACGAGAGTGAGATTTCATTACGGTATGATTGTCTAATTATTAATTACGGGATGGAATTATTAATTATGATTGGTTATTGATAGGGATGGCAATTTGTAATCGGTTAACCGGTTACTCGGTCGGAACGATGGTAATCGGTTAAAAAATCTGTAATCGGTTAGTCGGAAAAAAAATTAATACATGCGTAAATTTGAATACAATATCCTGAAAACTCGGTCAAATAATACAAATAAAAATATCTAAAATGTTAGTATTTTCATCCGTGGACATAAACAAGCCGATTCGGATATATAATTAAGGCTGTATTGATAACGTGAGAGTAATTGGTCAGTGGTTAATTGCTGTTCAAACACCTTGTCATTACCCAGTCTGACTTGTGTTTCTTTAATGATTTTAATTAAATGATCGTTGAGTACTGTGAACTGATTATAATGTGTACTTAACCTCTACTATCCTTTGTAGTTATCTATTAAACAAGCGATAGTACATACTTAGTTTTGAATTTGGTGACAACCTGCGTGACATCTCTTCATATTTTAAAAAAAAAATGTTTATGATACTTTAGGCATATTTCATGATTATCTTTTTTTCTTTACGTTCTTTATTAATTTTTATTTATTTATTAATTAAATTATTTTTTTGCCTATTAAAATTGAAATAAAATATAAAGTGTTTAAAATTGAAATAAAATATAAAGTGTTTAAAATTGAAATAAAATATAAAGTGTTCTGATCAAATATAAGCATAATATTATTACATTAATATAGTCTTGTTTGTTTGAGTAAAGCAGGACTTACAATGGAGAAATAAATCGAAAATTTTTGATACGATTAACCGACTATTCGGTCGGAACGTCTTGCGGTTAATCGATTGGCAATTCTGCATTCGATTGCCATCCCTAGTTATTGATTATTGCGGGTTTTGGAATTCTATAAATACACAGACGCTAAGTATCGGGTGCTCTCTCTTTCCTTTGTGTCCTAAAGAAAGGTCGCCAGTTTTTGTCCAGATTAAGGTGTGTACTATTTCAGTATATGTGACTAAAGTACATATAGTGCTAGGCTAAATTAATATTACTAGTCATTGTGCTAGTTTCATTTATTATTACTAGTTAAGAACTAGTTATTTCTATTTTCTGTAAGAGTTAGGAAATATTTCTGCTGCGTGCTAGTAGTTGAACTAGTAGCGGGGATATTTATTTGTAAATTTAGTCATTTATAGAGAGCCTTTCCGTTTTAGTTCGGTCGAGGGAATTTATACAGTTTATATCCGTCCGTATCAGAAGTTGTACTGATTTTTGTCTTTTGTCCCAAGGGTTGAGACTTGTCAATTTTACACACTGTTACTCATTTTTCGCTGTTGAACTACCTCAATAAATTATAAACTTTATTTAGCGACTTGGTTTTTATTCCTAGCATTTGCGGGAGTGTTTGACATCCGATGCGTTACACTATTTTAATTAGTCCCATTGTTACACAGATGATATAATTTTGTACAAAAAGGGGTAAAAAAAAATAGTGCATGGCACCAGGAAGTGACCTTAAATATACTATGTTATTGTCGCTGCCAATAAAAGGCCGTTCTGCAATAATTATCAACTTCTCTCTGTATGTGTATAGGTTAGTTTATTGGAAGAATCAAGCCTTTTTTGAATCACTGGTGATGTAACGTTTACAGAGCAATAAATTATCCGTCCTTTGATTTTGCAATTGAAATTTTCAGTGCAGGATAAAATTTCCTCTTTAAAAGAATTTATGTTTTTCCTTTCATACATTTTAAGAAGCAGCAGCAATAGCTCTATTTTTTCTTATAAGTTCGAACGGTCATGTATCGTGCATCCTTAAAGTTACAAGAAACATATGAAATCAATGAAATTAAATTATGTTATTTAATTACCTTTTGAGGAAAACACGATCTGTTTTGCGTATCAAAAAATGAATCCGGAAATACAATCTATTTTAAGGATGCCAAGAACCTTAGTAACAAATTAGCAATAATAACCGTGCGATATAAAGTCATGTATATTGAACTTTCAGAATGTTTAGTTCAAATCAAAGTCGGTAATTTAGAGGGACACGATTTGATCATTAAACGCCAACCCTTAAGGATATTTATTTGATTTAGCTATTGTTGCCACCCATCAACATGATTATATCCAGCTCATAAACCGAGTTACTCGACTAATACTGTTTCCAGCTTTGAAACAGGCCAGCGTTTGTCATCTTTAATGAAAATAAAAAATTATAATAATAAACAAATAAGTGAAAGTCAACGATGCGGAAGTCTTATTTTCCTGTTGACAAGTTTAAATGTACAATGTATACTGAAAGGGGACACAGATAAATTATTGATAGAAGAGATTAATTTTTTTTAAAGGTAGGAATCTATGAAGTGAATTTAAAGGAGATAAATCACATTTAAAGGGTGTAGAACGTATTCAGGTAGAAGTGGACATGCTCCCCTACCGTAAACCGCCCCTATAATTAATTATCAGCTGCTGACTTCGTATTGCATCATCATCGTTATTACACGTCTATGTCAGCTACATGTATATCAAACCACGTCACAAATGCCCTTGTTTTTTGTTTGTTTGTTGTTTATTTTCCCTCTCAAGAATTTTTCACTCATATGGAGACGCCACCACTTGCCGGTGGAGGGCTACAAATTTATACCTATATTCAGCACTCAGGGATATTGAGGAGTGAGTTATCTCTTTTGTGCCAACACCTACTGCGACACGGGACCTCGGTTTATACGGTCTCCTCCGAGGGACAGATCTCCATGTCCCGCAGCGGATCAACTCTTTTCTCCGCGACTCTAGAGCAGACGTTCTCACCGACCAAATGCCTTTGAGGTGTCCGCATAGGGCCATTTGCAAAAGCTCAACAGCGCGTTCAGAAAACACGCCGTCGCGCTAACACACAACACGCCATCATGTTAACACATCATTGAACAACACGCCGTCACGCTAACACAAGTTCGCACAACACGCCGTCGCGCTAACACACAACTCGCCGTCGAGCTATCACAAAGTTGTGTTAGTGAGTTGTGTGACAGCGCGACAGCGTGTTGGGTAAAGCTGCGGTAGCGCGACGGCGTGTTCTGTGACAGCGCAACGGCGTGTTGTGTAAAGTTGTGTAAGCGCAATAGCGTGTTGTTTGAAAGCGAATTAGCGTGTTGCGTGTTAGCGCGATGGCGTGTTTTTCTGAACGCGCTGTTGAGCTTTTGCAAATGGCCCTATCCGGACACCATCGCTGGGCAGTATTGGTTCCGTTAGGTTCGGTTCGTCTGAATAAAACAGATGCCTTCGTTTCTCCATTAAGGAATCTGTGCTTTAAATCAAACTACAATTAATTATATTTATGCATCTATGTTATGAGATTGATGGTCGAAGACATCGTTTTAAAACGTTTATTCCTTGCCTTTTAATGTTGTCCTATCCAGTGATAGAAATAAAAATGCAGTACAGTTCAATGTGCTATGACAGATCAATCTGTCAAATGCAAAAAGTTAAGATTCTAATTTTAGATAGCAAAATACAGTATTTGTTAACGAAACCTTTTTTGAAAATGCTTGCGTGTTTAACTTGTTTGTGCTTATAAGGTAATTCCTGCTTTCTGTTTAATTGAAGTTTAAGCAAATTATACACATTATGTTAAGGTATTATAGAGGGAATACTGATCTTTTACCTGCATGCACAATGGTACATAATAAAGTAAAAAATGTATGATTAAACTCCTAGTTCAACGGTTTATTAGTATCTCTTTAGTTGTTATTTAACAAATAGAGGTCAAAGTAACATACATATATTACAATTATAACACTGACAGATGCGTGAGCATGCAGAATATCATATATACAAATTGTGTTTACTACATTAAAATTTCTAATATTAATATTGATAACTATCGTGGCTTAACATTTAGTGACGGTTTCTGGTGACTTAACATTCAGTGACGGTTTCTTGTGATTTAACATTGAGTGACAGTTTCTCGTGACTAACATTCAGTGACGGTGTCTTGTGATTTAACGTTGAGTGACAGTTTCTGGTGACTTAAAGCATTATGAGCTGCGACCTCGATGTTGGAAATTTTTGTTGCAATATTGTAACTAACTATTTTATGGCAGAAATAAATACGTTTTTAAACTTCTGTTCTTCATATTTGCGATGGAAGAACTGTTTCTAAGCTTTGATCAAAGCAAAATTACATTATTGTCGTCCTGTACAATATTGATTTCTTATATAATACTATAAATTCCATTGTACAGAAATCTTTCTTCGAGAAAAAAATATACTTTATTTTAATTTAATTGATCAAGACATACATGTTTAAATTACATACAGATTTATCATAACAGCACATTTAGCAGCAAGTAAGAATGCTCAAAAATGCAGCTCATATTGCTTTAACATTCAGTGACGATTTCTCATGGCTTTAACCCTCTGTACGATCGAAGATTAGGAACTATCAGCACCGGACCAAACTTGCATAGATGATGTGATTGATAGTGGCATATACAAAGGCATATACAAAGGCATATATTTTCGAAGCATTAAGTCTCCGGAGAATTGATGAAGAAATTCATCCCTCAATAGTTCATTAGATTAAATTTTTATTTATTTTCTCAGATATTACCAAGAGATTGAATTATAAATCTTAATTAAGTTGTTGCTATCTGCAACAAGTCTGCGATTTATCATTCTGAAAAAAGTAGTTTTCTTATATTTACTAGCTAAGTGTGCATTTTTATTACCGGTATTTAATCCAAAGTGTTTTGAAGACAAGATGCGTACGCATAACTTAGTTCATTAAAACTTAGGCATCCAATTATTGGCTTCTGAATACTTTTCCATACTCAAATTCTGGAGTTCATGAAGTTTACAAGAAACTTGCCACATGCAGCTAGCGAATGCATTATTATTATTATTATTATTTTACAGCAATGCAGTTTGCTTTTTTGAAAGAGAATGTTAAGTACCCTCGAGAAACACCCATCTCTATTTCGTCTATTTTTTCATTTTACATTTTGATATCAGACACGTGTTAAACAAATACATTCTATAATGTGCAACGTCTTGAAAAAAATTCTTTAAAATCTGTATTTTTCTATTTATTCAGGCACTGGAAGAGTTGAATCTAATGGAGCAGATTAAGAGATTTGCCGGGGCTAGCGCTGGCGCTATGACGGCTTCTCTACTGGCAGTAGGCTTCGATTCAAAGGAAATTCAAGGCTTCCTAAGCCAGAATATGGCCAAAATGTTTCTAGGTAAGATAAACTGACTGCATACCTACCTGAACACGATTTTAGTGGGGATAAACTAATTAAATACATGTACCTAGCTCATTACATTAGAAACATGCGATTTCTACTCAGTGCCGAAGTTAAAAGAAATGACCGAATACCTTGTTCAGCACGTAAGCATTATGTAATTTTTTTACTCGGCTCAGCACAATATAGCTACGTGCGGTATCTATCTAAGATCGGCTTAGTACGATAGCAAGATTAGCTGACCAAATACCCGCGACACTGCACACTTTAGTGCAAAGATACCATCCGGTGTCTTAAATTCAGATTGATGGACTCGTAATCATGGCTTTGTTGAGGTACATAATGCATGTATACAAACAAAAATTCTTGACATGTCTTTCAGAAATTATGGCTACGTTTTTGTAATTCAAAGGTAACATTTACAAAAAAAGCTATACATTTAAGTAGACCTTGGTTTGTAATTTAATCTACATTCACCACAATTTCAATAATTTTTGGCCATTTAAACATTGTTATTATGTAACTTGATCATAAATGTACAAAGCACTTCTCTTTGACAGATGCTAAGTTTGGGGTTCTGAGCCTATTACCCAACCTATTGTCTGGTTACGGCTGGAACCCTGGAAATAGGATATACAACTGGTTCGGTGAAAAGATGGAACAAAAGATGGGGAATAAAGACGTTACCTTTGGGGAGGTCTGTTGCTGACACAATTGATTAATATTTATTTAACATGCCATAAATTAGAGAAAGGCATGCATGTCCTTTGCAGTGTTCTGTACTGCATTTATCAGTAGCTTTTGTCCTTATTTAATATAAAGTTACTTGTTTTTTAATGGTTTTATATATATATATATATATATATATATATATATATATATATATATATATATATATATATATATATATATATATATATATATATATGATTTTGACCCACATTACAATGGAATTTAATTTTCATGGCATATAGACATAACCTGGTTGCTTTAACATTAAGATTTTTTCAGTTATTATATTTTGAATAAAGGAATAAAAACAAAAATTGATAAAATATGGAACAGGCATTATACACTACATCCGATGATAATATTTTTTTGTATAATTAAAAAAACTCAAATCTCTATTGCTAAATTACATCCCGAACAATACATACAGGTATATAATAATAAATGTTTTTATTTACATGTAGGAATGGAAATAATATGTTATCATATGTATTTATAGTGAAACTTTTCTGTATCTAGTGTTCCAACATTAAATCTCACCATCAAATATTACATACATGTACATATATTAATAAGTACACAGTAGTAACTTTAAATATTACAGTATTTTCATATTTGAAGAATGTATATTTGAGTAGAGTTTTTCTGTTTGACAAAAAATGTAATTATTGAATAAGAAGATAAGCCAATAATTATTTTGTAATAAGTAAGAAAGAAAAACGATTTGTCCTCTGCCTTGAGGAGAAATACTTTAATTAACATGTAATCATCTTTTTAAAGCTCTATGAAAAGACTGGGAAAGAGCTCTGTGTTGTGGTCACGAATCTAAATCACATGACTGAAGAATATTGTCACGTGAAAACAACACCGGATATGCCTATTAGATTAGCAGTGCGCATGTCCATGGCAATTCCAGGTATGAATATGAATAGTAATAGAAAAGAAAATATGTGATTTTAAAATCAGTCACCAATTATTAGTACCTTAACTACAAGTACTACTACTCGTATAATAGTTAATTTTAGTTGACTTTAGTTTACTAAAGTGTCAGAAGTTTTAGTTAAGGATGAATTAAAAACAAAATGACCAAACGCATATTTATCAACCCACACTAAAAATACAGGCAATGAAAATAGATTTCTATGTTTGGATAGTGTCTAAATACCTGCCAAATATCTCGTTGATATCTCAATTAACAAAAAAGTTATGTCCAAAAATGATGCTAAAATTGTCAGGAGTGCAACACCTTTTTGCGACATTTTGAAATTTCAATATTTTTTGGAGATCTGTGAAATAAATAATAATCCTTTATGTTGAAAATAAAGACTTTCCTGATAATATTCAAGGTATTGAGCTTTAAATGTGGACTGTAGTAACTTCTGTTTAATCAAGTTGTGGTCATGGCTGATGTTTAAAAAAAATGTTATACCATGTCAGGAGTGCAACAGAAAAAATGTAGTGTTGCCAAAAAAACATCAATTGTAAAATTCTGAAAGAAAATTAAGACAAAAAGGAATTTTTGAAGTGTAAAACAATAACTGATATACATTTAAAAACTTAAAAATGTTATATAAATCACAAGCAGCATTAATGAGAGTCAAATATATGTGCATACCCAATAATGTCAGGAGGGCAACATTTGATGTTTTGCTCCCAAGCATGAAAAAACTATTATCATTATATGTTTTTCTGATTTTTATTTTGGAAAATAAAGACACAAAGAACATTTTTACCAAATTGATTGATCAATTACAGGATCTGTCTGTGCTTCACATCAATATTTCTATGGTCAGGAGTGCAACACATTTTTATAAAGATTCAAGTTATGTGACGAAAACACTTCTATTCATGCTTAGAAGTATTCATTAATTAATAATGATCTTTTGTATAATTTAATGCTAAAATATAGACGGTTTTATTATTAGAATCTTTCCTTTTTCCCTTTTATCAATTCAGATGTGTTTTTATTTTTTTGTGATTTTTTTAATGAATGTTAAAAATAAACACACTAAAAATTGTCATAAATTTCAAGTAATTCCCCCTCAACTTCACTGAAACAACAGAACAAGGTCTTAATGTAATTTTCACTTCACAATTCTACTTTAAAGGCCCTTTTGGTCAGGAGTGCAACAAATATGTTAGAATTATAAATCATCCAATAAGAATAAAAATAAAGAAAAAAATGATGAGTAGAATTTTTCTTGTGGGTTACTGTGTTTGTCCTCTGAAGGAAAATATGCTTTAAAGTATATATCTTCTAAATATACATTTAAGCTAGTTTTTTGGCATAAATAGGGAATAATTCCAGATAAAATACTAATTTTAAATACTTTCATCTGTTTTAATTATGAAGTATTGGACTATAAATATTGCACAATTTCATTACCACTTGATGTTACCAACACTTTATGAATTTTTGTGTTCTATGGTTTTAATTTTAAATTTTACTGAAGTCAGGAGTGTAACAAAACTGCTTTATAATAACCAATGCTTTTAACTTAATCTTTACTAAAAAATAAGTTGAAAAAAATGTTTGATACTATTTGATGTTCAATACACTATGTCTATCAACAAATTACAGAAATTTTACAGTCAATTCAGGGAATAGTTTTCATCATTTCACATATATTTTTAAATACAATTTATACATATTGCACTTTCCAAATAATCATGATTTAAGGTCTTCAAAATATGAAACAAAGTAAGAATGGGTTATTGTGTGTTATAATTTTTAAAACAATGTTAAATAAAATACATATCAGATGTCAGGAGTGCAACACAATAATGTAACATAGGGTCACTTCAAAATCTAGTATTTTTTGTAAGAGAACTTGTATTTAAAAATTCTTTTTCGGCTTAGATTTAAGATATGACTTGAACAGACAAAAAAGTGAATTTTGGGGACTTTTATTGCTTCATATTTTTTTTATATTAAAACTTTTCAAACCAGAATTGAAAAAATAATGTAAAATAACAATCAAAAAGCCAATTTTTTGTCACATATACAAGAGAAGATACTCAATCAAGGTCTAGATTTAATCATTTATACCCCTTTTACCATTTTAAAGCATAAAAAAAATAATTTCTTGTGAATATGTATTTTAGAAAGTCTTTTAAAGTGTAATGATATTTTCTTTTTTCAAAGAAATTTTACTAATAAAAATTCTGAAACTTTTTAATCCAATTGTCTATCCTATTGCCACTTTTAAACTAGAATGCATGTGCAATATGATGATATAAGTGAAAAATATTTTATAAGTACGAGGGGTGATCAAAAAGTTCGCGAACTAATTGAATATCTTCCTTAAAAGAAACAAAATGAGGTTTCAGTGTTCATTATTTTTAGAGTAGTCCTCTCCGATTTTAATGCACATCTGCCATTGTTCTGCCCATGCGCGAATCACGTGATCCAGGCGGTCACGTGACATGCTTCGTAGTGGTCTGTTCACAGGAGCTAAGAGATTTTCTGAGTATTATATTTCTTACCTTGCAAATATTTTTTTTATAACAATAACAGACCATCTGTCAGAAATGGCCAAATCTCGCCAATAAGATGTATGGATAAGGATATCCCTTCCCAGAATTAGCATGGTGGCCTTCACAACCCGAGTCTTCTGTCTCGGGAGCTTCGTGTATCCAATGTGGAAAAAGTATGGGCGCCTTCTTTTTTTCATATCTCATATGTTTAAAGTCTAAAGTAAACGATATTTTAGGGATTTAATAATTATATTATTGCTCAGATATTCAGCTATTTTTCTTACTGTAACTTGGCGATCTTTTAAAACAAATTGCTCAACTAAGGACACATCTTTTTACCGGTTTGCTTTCGCTGGTCAACAGAACAAACATCAATTTTAACCACCTCCCTGCCTTCACTAAAACATTCAATCCAATAAATGATTGAACTTCTGCTAAGTCTTTTGTCTTCATAAACCTTGAGCAAATTATCATATTCTACTGCAAAGGAATTTCCGAGATATACGTTAAACTTTACAGCCGTTCGTTGCTCCAGTACGACTGAGTCAACCATTTTTTGTCACAAGTGACCTACATACTGACGTCATTTTCACATTGTGACGTCACAAACACGGAGCAAAACATTATTTAACATCTGCTATTTATAGAATATGTGTTTGACTATATGTGTGCCAAATTTGATTCTGATCTGATTTGTGGTTTTTTTTAAATATAGACATAGTTCGCGAACTTTTTGATCACCCCTTATAGTTGAATTTTCCAAAAAATTTCAGTTTGGTGGTCATTTTTTTTAATTGACCCTTAATCAAAGCATCAACGTTTTTATTAAATAACTGTTAATCAAAGTATAAGTTTTCAATGTAGTAAATTAAAATTGTCACTTAGGTAAATAAAAGTATATTCACTAGTAGATGAATTTCGATTTTATATACATTGTATTTCATATTCTCCAACTCTTACGTGCGATTTTTAAACGTTAATATTACTTGTATGACTGATATATTCACATATTTTTACCAAATAAAAAACAATCTGTAAAGTTTCATAGTAAATTAAAGTATCATTATGTAGTAAAATTTGAAAGTATTAAAGTATGTATAATATACTATCGTTAACTATATTAAACTATTCTAATAGTTAACTACACGTGTAGGGGAAAAAACAAATCTACCTACTCAAATAGATAAAGCAATATTAAAAAAATAAATAAATTATTTGAATTTGATTTGATATTATAACTGATTTTAGTTTTTTTTCCCCAATTTTATTTTCATGGCATAACAATATGTAAAAATTATTGGTGTAAAGATGTTATATTTAAACTGGATTTATTAAAATAATACTAACATACACTGTACTTAGTAAACACTAAGTCTTCTGGCATTGGATGCTGCTTTTAAACTTTGCTAAGCAAAATTTCCACCCATGAGTCCCGGCCAAGAATCGCGCCTTTCTTTAGTTTTTCTGGAAAAAAATCAGACCAGTGTATAGACATAATTGTATGTAATATTAAAACAAAAATCGCGTGTTTCTTTAAGTACATGTACAATTATAATTGAATTTTTATTGTTACAGATGTTTTTTTCTCTTGCTTTTCTTACAGGAATGTTTCAAGCCACAAATTACACATACAATGGAGAAACAAACACTTATGTAGATGGAGGGGTGATTTGTAACTATCCAGTACACTGTTATGACGGTACGTTTTCATCTAGATGTAGATTTTTTCATATATAAACTTTACACTCTTGCAATAGAGAAGTCATTATGTTCCCATGTGTGAGCGATGGCGTGAATCAGCTATTAACACTTTTAGATGTAGGAGATCATTGTAGATTATGCATAAATATTGTATTTGTAAGCAGAGGTCGCATCTATGAAGGTAGAGGGAAGCGAGATATTTACATTGTAACTATCCTAAAAACTGCTCAGGCAAAATCTAAAATAAAATATATTAATATAGATTTTCTTACATAAAAGTTTTACTTTTTGTAAAGATCACTTATCGTTAAATGTACCTATAATTATACGCTATATTACAATAACTCTACCCAGTCTAGATCTATATTACAATAATTCTACCCAGTCTAGATCTATATTACAATAACTCTACCCAGTCTAGATCTATTTGGAGATAATACTAACATGTGTAATGTTAAATAAATTCTCTGATGTGTAGGAGACATGGTTTGACTGTAGCTAAACACACACACACACACACACCCTCACACACACACACACACACACACACACACACACACACACACACAAATCAAAAGCAAGGAGAAAGAACTCGATAAGAAAAAAATTAATCCTATTGAATAAACAGTTTTTCCTGCATAACTCAGGCACGTAGTTTCTTTTTAGAAAGGGGCAGCCGGGCCAGAAAAAAATATTTACAATTTACCTGAAAAACCTTTCACATGCAAACAAAAAAGGGGGCCTCGTCCAAAATCAAAAATCCTATTTCTTGGGGTTAGGTGGTAGGAGGGAAGTGTGTCCAAGTTATTCCACAAAGGTTTTATTAATACTATCAAGGAGTGGATTTATGTATTTTACTGTTACTTTGATGTTTCAGCATCTGTATTATATTTATCAATTTGACATCTCTCCCCCTCCTGTCCCACGGTATCAATGACAGTATTGTAAGTTTTACATTCAGCGTAGAGATAAAAGGTTAAACATTTTCTGTCTTGAGAATTCTACCTAAATTAATGTCAACCATCTCTCTTTTGATATTACAATTTCAGTTTTATTCCATTTCATTGGCTATCTTTAGAAATGTGGTAGGAGTTTGGGGGAAAGAGATGAGATGTGTGTGTATGTTAGTTTTGAGTCTTGAGTAGACTTTTAGCGAGTTAAATGTTACTATTTGGAATTCATGAATAAAGAACAGTAAACATGTAGTGACGAGTGTTTTCTTGGAAAGCTTAATCATATCATCACAATAGATTATCTTGCGACGATTTGAATGTACTGCAACAATAAGTGGGGGGTCAACCGGCCTTTCAGTGAACATTTTCAATAGTAACATGTTAGGTTTGGAAAAGGGGGTAGTCCCCCTTGCCCCCCCCCCCCCCATTCCCCATGATACTGCCTGCCTGTTAATCTAATAGTGCATAAATATTATGTGAAAACTCGATTTATTCAAGTGAAAATATGGGTTGAATTGATATTTTTTTTTTTTTTTAAAGTCGCGTATTGAATTTGTGTCTTCTTGTTTGATGGGCACAATTTAATACAGTCATGTAATTATGCTGGGTAAACGGTCTTGTACTGTTATACATATATATATAGAATTTATTGAGGAATTTTAACTGACGCAAAAGATATCAGCCTTTGATGTAGATCCCTACAGTTTACGAGAGGCATTACAAGTGACTTTTGTATAAGTTATCTAAAAAAAAAAAAAACAAATGTTTGGTCTAATCATGCGAGTAGTAACATTAAATTTTAATGACTCTGCCGATTGAACTTAAAGTCTTGAGGTTTGAGTCTTTATAAATAATTCTCTGTGGGCGTTCGATCCTTGAATATGACTAATCATGTTTTTTCCCAAAGAAAACGTTTTATACGTTTGGTGTATTAACATCTTCAGGTCGTCAATTTGGAATAGAATATATTAACTTTTTTTTGTGCAATCCGTTTTCATAAAATTGACAATGCTAATTCCTTTCAATTAAACTATTCCTTTATGGAATTTCTCATTCCCCAGCATTTCTATTTTTATCTGCCATGAACTTAAATTACGGTTATTGTAATTCATTTCGTAGCATTTTAATAAACCATTGTACACAAGTATATATACTGTTAGAGAAATCTCCATATGTACATATCTATTGAAATCAATAAGTAAAATACATTGCAAAGATGTATCCAATGCAAAAACTGAAGGGAAATGGTTCAAGTAGCATTTTATAATTGAATTTACCGTTCATGCATTTATTAAGCAAATGTCTTTGTTGGCAGATACAATGTACCTGTCATGATTAAGTAAGGATTTCAAAAGTGTATGAACTTCCACATCAAAGAACTCTTAGGAGAATAAAAACACATCAAAGAACTCTTAGGAGAATAAAATAGTTCACAACAAATGATAATTCAATTGATTTTTCATTCCCTATGGAGTCCATCATGCACTTACTACAGCGAAAGTAAATAAGTATTAGCCTATGTTTCTGAAAACAAGAATGAAACTCATTTTACAGCTACCGTCAAGTACATGCACATATACAAAAAAAAAATTAGATTTCAGAACCTTGATAATGCTGTTCATTGTAACTTCTAAGGCTTTGAAGAAAAATAATTCTGGAAATTAAACCGTTAAGGTTAGAAATATGAGAAGACGAGCTGGATTTTATCCAAATACTAGATATAAGGGTGCGATGTACAATATCGCAAAAATAAATTTGATAATATTCTCTCCACTTATAGCAAATTCAGTGGAAATGTTCACATAACTTTTGCCTTATTCCCTTTTGTGTCGGTAACATTTATTTCTTTCCCTAGAGTAATCATTGTTTGTGCAAAATGTTTGAAAATCTGGTTTAAAGTGCAAGACTTCTGAAATGATTAATTAGTTGTTCTATAATTAAAGCTTAAAACGTAAGATCCGACCTTCTGTTGCAATGTTCATGTTTCAGTGCTCGATGTTCATTTTTACATACTATGGTAATCGAGGAACGCAAACCTTACAATTCAAACATTATTGATTGAAGGCAAATGTCAAAAGTCAAATAACAATTTTGTGTAGTACAGCAGGCAAAAATATTTCAAAATCAATTTTGCACAGCCACAAATATTAGAAAATACAGTTAATTCATTTTAAACTTAGCCGATATAAAGAGAAAAACGTTTATTGTAATTTATAAACTTCATAACATACCTAGTAATCAACAAACCTAAAAAGACGAATGAATTTAAAACTTGAAATACACCATTTTCTAAAGTATTCACAAGCAATGAATAAAAATTACGAGGGTCATTTAAAAAAATAGTCAATTTACCTCAAAACTGTTTTATTTTAACATATTATGACCAAATTTGAAATATTTCGACAATAAATACGAATAATATGACTTTAAAAAATTCTTCTATATCATGGTATTTTTAAAAATTATTTCGATTTAGTGAGGTCATGTAGCATGTCAAAATTTAGTAACGTAATCTCAGTACACTATTTAATGCCCATAGTCATATCTCTTAAAAATGGCGTCAAAACAAGAACAAAAATTTAACATTTAAATTGGCTATGGCTACATTATTTCATATGCCAAATTGTTGTGTTATATACATTTTTTGTTGAAAAGAAATCAATTACAGAAGGCAAGTAGTCCTAATTTTAAATGGCAAAAAAGGCATTTCAGGACGTCAGCGATAAGCGATACAATTTTGAAAATCATTTTAAAAAAGCTGATAGTGTGTTGATCTTAAATTTCTTTCAAATATTATGACGAAGAATGATATTTTCTACGTATTTTTTGAATGACCTTGCTATACGTATGTTAAGAACTATTGCAGTATGGTAAATAAAGTGTTGGTGCTTTTGTAGAGTTGGAGCTTGTATTTTTACACATCTACAAAATTTTATCTTTGACACTCTAAAATGATATCATATTTTCGAACTTAAAATGTAATTGATACCTAATTTTTATTTTTTTTTTAATAAAAATTTGTAATAAAAGACTTTGCTAGAAGTGAACTCTTTAAAACGTTAAAAAGTGTTTAGGCAATACATGCATAAAGTCTATACTTCCCTTTTTTGGTCTTTGTAGGATGGTGGTTGTCTATGGACTCAAATGACAGTTTTCTGGAGAAACTTCAGCCATTAGACGATCTTCCACGATTGTTAGACAGGCGAGCGAGATTTAAACGAGAGTACAAAGACCCACTGAAAACGCTTGGCTTTCTACTGGTATAAAAAAATAGTACTCACTTAGTCTAATGATCATACATATAAAGTATTGATGTAGACATGCTCAAGTTTCCATGTACTGAATTTTTAAAATTGTTTTTTAATTTTATTTTTTCTGTTTATCTTTGTTTTGTATTTCCTCTGCTCAATACCATAGTTAAATGTTATCAAACATAGATTATGTTTGACATTATCAAAAAGTATCTTAAAAAACCCTCTTGAACTAAAACATTGAAACTTGAGCAGGTCTAGTATTTATGCAAAAACAAAATAAATCGCATGCTCAAAAATAAAAAAAGAAATCTTTTTGTCACTCTATATATTAGACGTAGGTGATGGTGTACTTCTACTCGCCAGTATGTACATAGAGTACTTCGTTTTGTAGATTATTTATGCATCTATATCTAAAGCATATAATGAAATAAACGATAACATGAAACTCACAGTATTGGCAAAATTCCTCAATTCTTTATTTTCATTACTTACTTACATTAAATCGGTGATTCATTTATATTGTAGTAAATGTAATTGGTAAATCACTCATGTAGTAGGTAAAGTTGCATGCTCAAGTGAATAAAAATCCATTCTGCTTTGATTGATTGTTTCACTCCCCTTGCGAGATTTTTTACTCATATTTTGTTTGGAATGCTTTCAAGTGGAGATAATAAATTAATTTTCCTTTTAAAGTATGCCGATTCTGAGACAGATGTGTTCAGATTTATGTTGGAGAAAAGAATAGGTGTACATCTGGATCCATCTCCAAACACAAAACTAGCAACGTAAGGAAAACACTTCTATTACCTACATATAAGTACAGTGAAACCTGTCTAATCCGACATGCACTGGGAGAAAACTTTGTGTCGGAATAGACAGGGTGTCAGATTACAAAGTGAAGCGGATTGCACAAGTGTCGAATTAGACAGTTTTTACTAGTATTATAGTATGTTTAAAATACTTAGATGTACCTAAAAATTCAATAAGATGACATTTTCTTATAAGCATTGAAAGTTTTACAAAAATATAACAGTTCTCTTTTAAAAAGATTTTTTTCTTTCTATTTTGCCACAGAAAGGAATTTCATAAGAGATAAAGACAAAAATTTTAGCAATGAAAATAATGTTAAGCAGCGAAATGTATGCTACTGCAAAATAGGGCCTATATCTATTAATATTTTAAAATTATGAAATATGAAAATAAATTATTTTAATACCACTAATCAAATATTTAATTATTATGTATTATTTGATATTGCAACAATTGTTAGCAACTTTAAGAATTGTATTTTTGAATCAAACAGAGCGAAAATGGAACGTAAGAAAGTGCAGGAAAAGGCAAAACGAGAACACAGAAGAGTCATGATGGCGGTGGATGAGTTTTTAAAGGTTAGAAAACAGACTGCTTTGTAATTTACAAGACCACCTAGTAATGTCTGTACCAAGAAAGGAAATAACAGAAATATGAGGAATTTTATTGCTTTTTTCTTGTGTCTTGGTTCACTGACTGTTTTATTGGGAGATATATTGCCTGTTGTTAATGTTATTGCATGTTATGTGTTACTTTTGAATTAAGCAATTCTACACCAGCAGACAGACCTTGGCTATGTATATATTTTACATTTTTATTAAAGATTCGTAATTTTGAGAAAGTAGTTACTAAATATAGCATGAAATCATTGAACAAATATAACATATTTGACTTCAGCATGTTCAGAACATATTTTGTCTTTTAATTTACTACCAATATTTTTTATATTGTTATTAATATTATTAATGCTTTATTAGGTTTTAAGGAAACATAATTTGGACAAGGATCATACCATAAGTAGAGCAGAATTAGAAAGTGCATTTAAGGATGTAAGTGCATGTACTTGAAATTTTTTTTTAAATTAAATTCAATGAAAATGTATAAATGGACCAAGAAGGAAAGAATCAGTTATTATATGGTTTAATGTAAATTAATAATATTTTGGCATTGGCACTGTTTACCCTAGATTTAGGAATATAAGTAAAATGTGTTTTGGACAGAATTAAAGACAATGAAATCATCTTCAATCATCTCACGGAAAATCCTATACATGTTTTTCCACAAATTTGAAAACTTTCAAATATTGATTGTCAAATTATGAAAAAAAAAACATTGAATTTTTCTGATGATTTGTAATCTCAAATTTAAACAGAGTCAATTTATCAATGGTTATCACAACGCATTTTCTGTACATATCTTGAAAAAAATTCAAGGATTTTTTTTCTTGAAAACGCCTACATTTATGTACATTGAAAGAGGCTATGGGTTGTATGAAAACCACATGACATCAAATATTCATGCCATTCTTATAAATAACGCAGGAAGAGTTTACCAAGAAAAGCAGTGAAATGTTATTTGGAAAAGACTGTACTGTACAAAAGGCCTTTGAAATCCTAGACAAGGATGGAAACGGAGAAGTGAGTGATTTATGTCTGTTTAAATTACTATGAGACGTTGTGCAATATTGACTATTTAAACCCTGTGCATTTATTCCCTAACACAACTGACAATTCAATGAATTATTTGTCAGTTGTGTTAAGGAAATACGTGTCGATGTAGGAATTTCTTTCTCCATAAAACCATAATTGCATTTCATGAAGTAGAATTGCTTCATGATTTTTTCTTCCACATGAGAGAAAATGCTAAGGTGGTAATGAAATTTGAAGCTATTCTTATTTAAGTGGTATTTGCAAACAAAGGGTGAATTACTCAAACTGAAAACATCTTAAGGCGTTGAATTTTTCATTTTGGAAAAAGTTTTGCCATTAGGAATACTCTAAACTTACATTAAATAGCGCACTCAAAATTCAAGTAATTTTAATCTTCATCACCAACTGATTAGCGTAATCATAAATCAGCATACTTGGAGCAAAGTTGTTGTTGTTGTTTTTTTTTTGGTATGAAAAAAATCAAGATATTGGAAGGAATATAAGCATAGATCTAAAAAAAAATACAAACAAAATTGTGAACAGAGTATAATACACGGACACCCCGGAAATTTCAAAGGGAAGGTCAGGTTCCTAGGAGGATAAGCATCAACTGTCGAGCTGTCACACCCGCCCTGAGCGCAGTGTACAGTGTGTTTATTAGGTGGATGGAATAATTAGTAGTCAAAGTTAGAAAGAAAAAAAACAACAACAACAATAATCAGAAAATGGCCTAAACGATTGGTTTGAGACATGTCAGTCAATATACTAGTATGACCAAATGATAGGTTGTATTTGCAAATAAGGTCATTATAACGACTATAGAATGCTGACTTTAAACCAGTGTGTATTAACACATGTATGTACATAGATGGAGACGCAAAATTCTCATGAATAAGATTTTTTTTAAAAAATCCGATGATTGATCTTATAATTAAGGCATTGTTTAATTTACAGATAAATTTCAACGAGTTGATAAATTTTATACAAGGGACAGGAATCAGTCTTCAGCAGCGTTTCCTTGGTTACCAGAGGAGGGACATTAATGGAATTTTCGAATTCTTTGACACATTACAAAACGCTCTACTGACCAACGTTAAACGCGCCTTTGTTAATGTAAGTACAGGGACAATTGTCTCATCCCCTGCTACACCATTTATCAACATTAAGATGACAGAAATTGATTAAGGTCATAGTATACCCAAATTATTGAGAAAGTGTAGATTCGAATAAACTTTTTTTTTTTTTCTTTTTCTTTTTTTTTTTTTTTTTTTTTTTTTTTTTTTTTTTTGACTTTTTTTTTAGCTTTTTTTTGGCATTTTTAAGTTCATACAAACTTCGTAATAAATGTGTTTTAGCAATATGATAAAGCCTACTCAAACTGTTTGACAAAACTCTACAACATTTCATTTTGAATATCTTCCATGATTGTCCTTTAATGTACCCTATATGCTTCAACATTAAGTCTTCATCACCTGATGTCCAAGTTATGCATTCAATTTGATGGTTGAGTTTTTCCAAATCTATCAATAACTTATTAACAGGATCAGGACTTAGACAGAACAGTTGGCATCAACACGGGTCACGTGGGGAC